TTTTTTTTTTTGTGTCCGTCATTACTTTTTATCAACTCTCACTGGACCGATATTTCTCAACAATACGTCAAAAAATCACAAATCGTAACTAGTTGAAGACATTACCTACAAAAATAGAAAATTTTGCTCTCGTTTCCCGTAAATAGTGAAAATCCTCCAAAAAATTATGATTTTAAAATCCATAAATTTCGATATTTTTTGACTTTTTTTTTCTAAAAATTGCCATAACATAAAAATAATTATTTTTTATATTGTAACCTTAGATATTTTTCTTCCATTTGATATAAATTTTTTGAAAATCTAACCCTTTATCTGCCCACAGAGGGTATTCTAAATAGCAACTTCTGCACAAAAATTTAACTTTTTCAACTTAAGTTTTGAAAATGTTCCGTAAATACTTCGAGTTTCAGACATAAGTTAAAATAAAAATAATTTTATGCATTATAAGTTACAAAAAAAATTTTTTTGTTCCGACGACTTATCTTCTATGTGCAAATGGTTGTCTTAATTAAAAAACATACAATTTTGGTGTTAAAATTTACAATTTCAGATTTTATTAATGAAACTATTCAATTCAATTTTTGAAAATTTTCAGGTAATATTGACACTTTTATTTAATTTTAAATTAAAGCTTATATAATATACTATACTATGAAAAAAAATATTGAGATATAGTGAACATGGTTATCACATTGAAAAATACGCTATTTTTGTGTTAAAATTTTGGGTTTTGTATTTTAATTTATTTTAAGATACCTTATAATGAGGTACACTGATTTTCATTAATATTATTAAATACTAATTGACATAAAGCTTAACTTATTTCAATTTTTTTTTCTTTTAAGTCGAAAAAATTAATTTTAACATTTAAATCAGATTAAATTGCCAATTTTACTAAAATATGAATGCAACGAACGTTTGCGTAAAAACGTTTCAGTAAAAATCATTGCCACAGGCAATGTTTTTTTTGCAATTTTTCCTTAATTTTTTTTTTAGTTAGAATTTTGCTTTTGAATAATCCACCAATTTTTTAAAATTAAACACTATCTACAGATTTGCATTGAAGCGTTTCTTATGATAGTGATTTTAATCACGGTCATCTATACTAATCCCAACTATGCCACGTTCACACTGTGCACAGTTTTTAATTTTTGAGTTACGTATATTTCTTGAATTATGAGATATTAATTACTTTTTAGAATCATTCCTAATAACTTATTTATGTAATCGATAACAACATGTGGATCAGTACTGCGGAAGTAGTTCTCACTATTATATCTAGGCGGAAGAAGGAATGCATCTGAAGAATAATAAATGTAACAGTAACAGGGTTGTTTTATGTCCTGTCATTTTCTTAAATATATAATTTGCTATTTTATGAGTTAGTTAAAATGTATGTTGCTATTTAAAAAAAAAATAAGTTGACACCACTATTAGTCATAAAAGTTGATTCTAAAAAGTTAGCTGATAAATTAAAAAATTAATTTAGTATTGTATTTATTTTATTAATAATATCGAGTGATTTATGGTAAACTGATTACTCTGTGTTGTGCACTTTATTCGTCTTGTTGTTAATGAGTTGATTGATGTAAGGGGAATTTAAGGTTGTTATTATTTGAATATAATGCAAAATTGCCCACGTGCTGTATTATATATTTAATGACTTTAAAGGTAAACATTATAATCAAATTAAACATTTTATTAACAAAATGTCAGAAGTATTCTTAATCGCCTAATAGATATATTATAAATAATAGTTATTTTTATTTCATTTTGAAAATTGAATATAACTTTTATTTATACAAATTAAGTTGTTTTCGTTTAATAATATTTATTTTTATGTTACTTTATTTTGTATAATTTCTTTATGTAGTCTGTGTATTCATTATTTCTGTTTTTTACAAAATTAGAACATCTTAATTGAGAAATATAAATAGAATTTCAATTATTCAATTTAGTATCGTATGTATTAATAAACAACCCGATGCAAATTTTCTAGAGACCCTTTTCATTCAATTAAAATTTAGTATCTTTAAATTAGGTCAGAAAACGCTAATGGCAATAATCATGATTTTCATCAAAAGATTTAAATGTCTGAGTTTATGTCTAGTGCTGTTGGCTGCTGCTGAAAATTTATGAATTATATTACTAAATTTAATGACAACTTTCTATGTTCGAATAAACATAAAATAATGAAAAATTCTATATATTTTGAACGCTTTGAAGTTTTATATTGAAATTTAAACACTACATACAAAGCGATGGCGTATTTGAAGGGGGTCTTGGTATCCTCACATTTTAAAGAAATTATATTTATTATATCAAGTCGCAACATCCAAGTTAGATAAAAGAGTGGAGAATTGACCACTCAGCGTTTTGAAAATTATCTCGACCTTCATCATCTTAAAAATGCTTCCGGCGCTTAGGCGTAAATGTTTTTTACATAGTCATTATATAGCAATTACAAAACTTTGATTACAATAGTATATTTTTTTGAGTCGTTATGAAAATAATTAAAATTTGAATTGTATACAGTTTTCAACATACATTTATACATATATTTTTTTAGTCTTATGTTTATATATTATATTCATCCTGTCTGACCTAAGATTAATACTTTATAATTCATAGCATAGTAAATTATACATCTGTTATGTCGTCTTATATCATAAAGTGGTTTATATCCTATTACTGCAAAACATATTTAAGAAGAAAAACGTGTAAGACGGAATATAACAAAAAAACTACAAAAAATATTTTATCTTCAATATTTCCTAAACCTTACCTTAGAACTACCCAAGTTTTCATATATATGTTATGACTTTTTACATAGTTATAGTTAAAAAATTAGGTAGATAACAATAAGCTGTACATTCTAGATATACATTTTAGATACTGCATCATTTAACTTTAAAAGTGATATTAATTTAATTAATATTTTTGAAATTTTATTTAATTTTACTATAAAACTCTTAGTTTACATATTTTTTCTTATTCCAATTGCCAATATTTCCTTGATTTTTAAAAATCCAGTAAATTAAAAATAAATTAAGTTAGTGTGGTATGTTTTTATAATAAATTTTGTTAGATTGTCCCCACTTTCTAATGTTTGGCCCGTATTAAATGTTATCAAGTTACATTAATCGAACAATGATCAAAATTACAAAAATGATATATGATATTGTACCTTGGAAAACGTCTATAAATGAAAATATACTCCTTGATTGAAGTTTTATTATGCCTTAAGATCTCTTCCAGTACTTTGTTATTGTTTATTAGAAAATGACAGAAGAATAATAGGAATCCTCGGTATACAATTTTGATGAAAAAATTTACTCTTGCTTTGCTCTGAATAACCCGAATTCCCTACAAAATTATTATCCTGAAAATATAAAACATTTGCTTAAGTTTAATGTGACATTTGTACACTGTTGTCTGTAATTCATTTTATTTTATTTTCATTTGATAGTTTTTTATTTTTATAGAATGAATATAATTTCTACGTTTAACAGTGTATTTTTGCCGTTTTTTTATTGATATGATCTAGTTTGTATTGACAAACACTATGCAAGTGAGTGAAATTATTTTAAAATTGATTATGAAAAATCTTTATTTGAAGCGTCTGTTAACGAAATGCGTTACATAATACTGAATAAATATTTAAAATCATTTCGAAATTAAGATTTCCTTATTTTTTATTTGTTGGTTGAACCATCTGAATTATTGTAATTATAATCATTGGCTATTTTATATTTTAAAAATATTCTAGTAAAATATGCTCTATAGTATAAAATGTTCCATTGATTTTCTTAGGTTTTTCCTTTTAAATCTCCGGGGAGCGTCCTATAGAGAGAAACGACAAAACTTAACGAATTCGTTTGTCTACATGAATACATATTTATACTTTTTTTTTTCATACATTTCCTAAAAAAATAACTCTATTTACTCGTCATAGTTTTCTTGGCAAGATAGCAAAAATATGAGATTAAAAAAAAAATGTACGTTTAAAAAAGTCGTTGCTCTTTACCCTTTTCCCTTTACTTATCAGACGCTAATGGCTGTTAGTAAAATAGTTTCTCTGGTTATAATTATTCGAAACGTAAACACAAGCAGCTATCGACACCATCGTATTAGTCATTGAATTCATAATATTTCTCTATAATAAAACAATTGTTGTACCATTGACTAAAGAGAAATACAAA